GTTTCAATTTAGTCCTGCGGAAGTTGAACTCTTTATCCCTTGTTTCAGTGCACAAACAAGATAGGTGGTCAGTTATTTTCAAATCCTTGTTACCGTTAGGTCATTTTTAACGCTGAGATGAATTAAATTTACATTTTTTTCAGACGTGGAGGACAAGGGTCATCAATTATTGTAGAAAGGTCTGCCGAACACTGAGACACAACAATGCAACTGCTTTTGTTTCACTGCGAACGTAATATTACAAAGATAAATCAAAACAATACAAAAAGATTTGAAATCTTAAGCGTTTTCCTTTTGAGGTATCACCCTCTTCTTACTCTTGCCGGAATGAATGCAATTTTCTCTCACATCCGTTCACATTACCAGGCTCCTCGTGGAATAAGAATAAAATTGCAAGAATGATGTTTGATGTTCGATGCCTTTTGTTCAAGAATTTGTTTCTCACTGCAGTGGATCGAGGTTTCGATTAGATCCTGTCGCAAATTAATTTTCCACCAAATTCGTTACTACACGTGTTAATTTTTGCCCTGACTTTTGTAAAATTCTCTCCCCGGGGCTTCTCGGAATGTGTCCCAGTGGCTTTGCGGTCTCTATTGACAATCCTCTCCTGCATTTCACCTGGATAAATCACCAGGAACGTAATTAGGAAAGGACACGGACATAGTGGTTTGTTTTTCTGCACAATGTTCATTTTGAGTGTCGCCAATCAAAACAAGGGGTCTGTTTCTTCGGGTGAGTTTTAAAGTTCTTTGTTCAGTTTCCCTTTGTCGTCGATGTGAAGGATATGTTTTGAGTACTCTCGAGTCAGCACTCGTTTGTATTTCGCAGTATTATATTTTGATACTACCCTTTAAGGAAACATCTCGAAAAGATTTCCCCACAACCCCATGCTATTCTTAGACAAACCTGTAGTCCCAAGAGAAACCAATTGTCTTCTCTATTATTTTCTTTATCCAAGAGCTGTAAGCATAAATCTTGGCAACATCTTTCAAGTATTGGTCAGATCACCTGATTTAAAATGTTCCGTGAAAACCTCTAGCCAACTGATTCATTTTATCAGATGCTTTATCGTGCAACGAACCTTCAACGTCGCACAGACTAGCACTAAAAGAAAAAAAAAAACCATCGAGTCTGCTTTTTTATTATACCTGTTGTGACTCGGGCGCAGAAATGTCCATCATCTGTTGATAACCGAAGAATCTCGCGTCGATCAAACTACAATTTGCTTAAGGAAACATATATCTATATATTCGAACAACGACGCTAGTTGAATGGTTTAGCTATGAATTCATATATGCAGTGCTAACTATATAGACTTGTATACTTTGCGTACATAAAGGAAGCGATAATTTTATCTTGGTGGAGCGAAGATTTGTTGACAGAGGCGAATTATTGAGATCGACCCAATCTGATACTCATTACAATACAATTAATTCTGTGCACTATCGCGACCCTACCTTTAACAAAGTAAGTTTAAGCTTTTCCGATTAGAAGATCTCGATATTTGAAGACAAACCAGTGATTTCTGCTATGTATCTCATTATAGGGAAACAGAATATTTGGAAAAGCCGCTGCTTGTGAAATTTTAACCGGCTGCATTCCGGGGATCTTCTTGTTTGGAATTTTACGGCATAAAACCAAGTAGAGTCTGTAGAAAAAGCAATTAAAGTTCTATTTATCGCTGAGCAAAATGTTCTTGTTTATATCGAGGGTAAATTCATAATAATAAAGGCGAAAATATGATGAAGAAAAATTTAAATATTTCCATGCATCGCAGGAAACAGATTTACATCTCAGCTCATTATATTTAAGAATGTTACGAATGCGTATTTTATTCGATATGTCGACAATTATAAATCACCATAAATAGCCTAAAGAACACGTTGTAAATTAAACAGAACTAAAAGGAAAACGAAATGCGGCTCAAAACAATGAACCTGTTTCAACATAATTTCCGATAGAAATGTCCATGTATCACTTATGTACGGTTTTCTGTGCAGCTAAAGCGGATAAAGAAGTAGTGTGATGTCAACTTACAAGATACGAGAACGCAAGCAAGTGAAATAAGTTTAAAAACGCGCAGCTTTTTGGAAATTGTTTACAGATAACGAGAGAAAGCATAATTTGTAGAAGTTGCAGCAGGCATGTTCCAAAGCCCATATTATGGACTGTAGACCTTAGACAGTAGACGAAGAATTTTGTGACGGAACTCAAAATTGTCACGCAATCACGTGGCGCTACGTTAAGAAATTCATTCAGTCGCCATTCCACAGGAGTGACCGCTTAAGAAATTAATTAATAAAATCTTCCTTTTGTCACTATATTGCTATTTTCATGTCTCTAGCTATGCAAGCTGTTAACTAGTTATGGTATTAGTAAAACTAGAAAGTTTTGTGTGAATCTTAGAAAAGAATAAGGATTTAGAGGGGGAGGGTAGATGTCAAGAGCCTTGCAGGGCTTATTTGTTAAATTATCTGGTTAGTGCAAAACGTTTTGGGCTCAGCAAGACCAGTGCCATCTGGCTACTTGCCCGAGGGTGCTGAAGGGCAATGAGAATGCTTGTCACTTGACTTGTGGTTGCTCAAACCCTAACACAACTGTAACCCTAACACAAAACCCTAACCCAACTGTAACCCTAACATCAAAATACTGGAAAAAGGTCAATGGAACTGAACTGATTTCTGCAACCCCAACCCTAATCATAGCTGTCTCCTGAGGGTGTCAAATACCTTAGTCAGGTGATGTTCATTTTTTCCTTTAAGGTAAAATGAAGAGACGACTGAAATTCCGACTAGAGTGGTACGAGCTACCCAAATTGGCGTTCCTGACTCAAATAATCATATTTATGCGATAGCCAGCAAAGCAGCTAATAATGAACCTTAAATTTGTGCACATAGTTTTTAATGGAGGGGATGATAAGAACTAAAGTTATAATTCTTAAAGCATTCTCCTTTACTTGATGACTTTGAAACAAACGATAGAAATTCATAAATTAATTTTAATAACTTTCCTTGAATGACTGACTCGTTTCTTAAAATTATACTGTATGTAGATTTGACCGATTTTCATGAAATCTCGCCAAAACATTCCAGGGATAGTGACGAACGAAAGCGTATCGAGAAATTTTCATATTTGAAATTTTTATTTAAGTGAAGTCCATTTACGCAACTCGTCTCGCATATTTTACGCTGCTCTAACTTTAGATGCGAATATCTACACACACAATCAGAATATCGGAAAAGCCCGACAAACTTTTTTTGATTGATGCCTTCTGAATAAGACTGTGTAGCCATTTTGCGCGTGCTACGGTGTGCGATACCCGATAAATTCAACAGATAAACCCTCGGTCGTTTCATAAATGATAAATTATGTTTTTATTGAAACTGACACGTGTATGAATTTTTTCCCGAAGGACACCCGCGAAGGTGGGAAGTAACCTTAATGGGATTCCTTTTTATTTTGTTGTTTTTTTCCTTAGAAATGGGGCTTCCGTGCAACCTTCCATGTCATTTGCTTACCACTCCTGACCGCATATTGGCTTTGGATTACGACAACAAGTCCACCAATTTGGTAATTTCCCAGTTATCATTCGCTACAGCCTTAGACTACAATTACAATGATGACTACAAGCGTGGCTTCATATTTTGGACTGATAGGAGGGAAAAGAGCATTAGGCGCTCAAATATGGATGGCACAGACGTAAAAGTTATCCACAATAGCACAGAAGAATGTTACGGACTAGCCGTGGATTGGAACTCGTTGCAGTTGTATGGGACTGATATAACAAATGATACGATATGGGTATCGGATTTTGACGGAGGTAATAGACGCATAGTCCTTTCCTTAGATCTAGACAGGCCGACAGGGATTGTTGTCGACCCACACGAGAGGTAAATTTGACCCTAAAATAAATACACGGTACCTGTTTGGCGTGAAAATTTGTTCGGATACTTGTCCGCGGACAAAATCTGTTCCGAGATGCGAACTGTAAGCTCCGAGGAACAGATGATTTTCTCAGAACAAATATGTCAGCAAATTTTCGCACCTAACACTAGCTGCGTGTGTTTATTCTCTTCCAAATATAACTTCTACGCTTGCGAACAGCTTACCGTTTGTTGTGAGGGATGTTTACTTTTCAGTGCTCTCCGGCACGACTTTATAAACAAACAAACATTTCTCTTCGGTAACATCAGCCAAATGGCCCGTTGTTTATTAAGTTAACAGACATTAGGTGTGAAAATTGGGGAATATCACCGTGATTTATCGTCGGATATTCCCAAGTTTTAGGGCATATTCGATGACGTGATGTGATCAGACCAATCATGCACAAGCAGAACTATTAAAATGAATTGTAATTGATAACGAGAGTACCAACCCAGTGAACGATAATCTAAGGATAAGATATACCTTCGAGGGCAAATATTTTTTTAATGTTTTTTCCATGTCAAACTCAGCTTTATTATTTTAACTATGGTTTCAAAGAAAAATTTTGGTCAAATATTGAAACGCGTGCAAGTTATTTACAAAAACGTATTTTCGAACTTCTAAAGAGTGAATAGCCAATTATAACATGGTAACATAAGTGACTCCCGAGCAGTTACTTGCGGCAAAACATCCTACTCCTTGAATTTCAATCGCGTAAACATCTCCTGGTCTAGGTTGTACGTGAAGATAATTTCTCTCTGCATTTAAAACTAGAATGAGAAAGATTAAATAAGGAGAAAAGTCCATAGAGGAAAGTAAAAGGAATCCTGGTTGTCAGCTCAAAAAGTAAAGAGATTCTCGCCAAAACGGATGAAGGCTCCTGGTTCAGGCAATCTAAACGATCAGCAACCCTTAAGATTTGTTAAATGAAGAAAAAAGAATTGAAAAATTGCCGGTCAGCCGAATGGTCTACCGTATCCGCGATACTCAATGGTTTTGCCCAGGAAAGATGAGACTGAGACGGAGCACTGACGTCACTTTACTCTTGTTTGTTTATCCTGGTTTTTTATTTTTTT